TGCAAATGTCATGAGTATATGTTGATTACCATATTGTTAATGCATGATTTCTAAGGAGAGCATGTTGAACTCTGTCATTGAGGTTTAGATTCTGGGATTAATATTGAACTGTCATTGTTTAGATGAGCCTGTTGAACTTGTTTATGCTTGTATTGATTCCGCATTTAGGCTGTTTATTCCCAACAGTAACTAATCAAACAATTTATAATTTATAAACTAAATTATTTAAGATTGAAGTATGACCTTGATAAAGTTTGATTACAAGAATTAATGGGCCATTCAACATTGTTATCTATTAAAATCTTCCAATAACTTATCAAATAACACAAATGTGTGTGATTTCCTCGTCATACACTTAGCTTCTCCATCTCCCTCCTAAGCGCATTAGCCCTCACCAAACTCCCAATTGTATTCACAGCCAATTTCAAGTCATCGAGTGGATTCCCAGGCACCACTTTCTTGTACAAATAGCTATCAAATGTCATTTTTTGGACATATTCATCTGCACACATTTCTACAAATGCTTCTCTCGCCGGATTCGACCTGTAAAACACCTTCTGAAGAACATCCAAAACCTTGTACGTAGGCCAATATGTCTTGTCCCATTTCTCCAAATACTTCCTCAAATCACTCTCATCCACCATTCTTTTCCCATTTTCTGATCCTTCAACTATTGCCTCTGCACACATTCTTCCACTCTTGGCCGCAAAATATATCCCCTCGCCAGAGCATTTCGTCACATACCCGGCTGCATCCCCGACTAGCGCTACTCGATCGAGCACGCGCCTTGGCCGGGGGTGCTCTGGTATAGGATGTGCCTCCACTCTTATGATTTTTCCTCCTTCGATTTTGTCCCTGGCTCTTAATCGTGTGGCAATTTGGAGTTTCTTGATGTCGCCTTTGTGGGTAACTGTGCCTGTGCCAACAGCTACATGGTCACATTTTGGGAAAACCCAGCCGTAGAAATCAGGTGAAACGTCGTCGCCTACGTACATTTCAGCTAGATTTTCGTAATACTGCATCTTGTCATCTGAGATTTTGATGCGTTCTTGAAATGCAATGGCGTACTCGTATTCACCGGCGTTTATGTTCTTTGCTACACGGGAATTAGCACCGTCGGCACCGATGACGGCGTCGACCTCAACTGTCTTTTTCTCGCCGGCGCCACCGGTTTTGGCGTTGTAATCAGTGAAATGCAATACATAGGGTGAACCAGTGGATTTGGGCAGGTCCATTTTCAAGAACAGGCCGTTAATCACTGTGGCTCCGGCGGTTGCGGCACGGTCTCGGAGGTAGGCGTCTAGGACTTCACGGCGAACCATTCCTATGTACTCATGGGGCTTAAGGGTCCGGCCAATATCGACAGCCACATTAGACGGCGAAATCATCTTCATTTTAGTGACTCTCCGGTCGATAATATCCACTGGCAAGTCAAATTCACCCACCATACAAAGTGGGATAGCACCACCACATGGCTTGCAGTTGTCAAGCTTCCGTTCGATCAGAATCGTCTCTATGCCACCTTTAGCAAGTGTCTCCGCGGCGGCACCACCAGCCGGGCCACCTCCCACCACCGCAACTTTGAGGTTCCTTCCGTTGACTCTTGGGCTGGTTTTTGAGGCATTTATACGGATTTTATGGTAGGTTTGGGTGGTGGGTTTTGATAGAACTATCGATTTGTTTTCGGACGTGATTTGGCGGAGTCCGATGAAGGATTTGAGGGCAATAGAGACCATTTTCGATGTTCTTGATATTAGAAGATGATCAAGAGTGATGAAGATCGGTGTTTTTATGGGTGGACGTGATTTTGTTGGATATGGTTTTGGGATTTTAGGAAATGTAAACCGTTTGATGGGTAGCAATAGAGGGCTGAGATTTGTTGAGGATAAAGCGTATAGATTTTTTGTTTGTTTTTCTATTGGAAGTATGGCGTAACTTTTTCAAGGAAGGGTCTTGATTTTGCATATCTTTAGGTGGCTTGTATTAAGCCACGTACTCCAAGGGTAAATTTGGTAGGAAAAATTTCACTAGATGCCACTCGATTTATAGGTTTGTTTTATGTTAGTCATTCAATTTCTATTGTGTTATTAATTAAATATAACGAAATTCGTGAGATGGAATTTGTCCCCCAAACTGAGGAATGTGAAATTTTACTTGGCTGCTTTATCATGTGTTGCATGATTGTGGCCCTTTATGAGCTGAGAAGCGAAGCTAGAGTAGGAAATCAACATTCTCGACATTGACAAAAATGCCTGCTATTCCAACAAAACAATGTCGTCAACTACTCTTAGAGATGAAATTGCAATACAAAAAAAGTCGGAACTTTTTGCTTGCAATCAAATGTCTAGAACAGGTGAACTATTATAATATTCCACCACTTTTATAGTTTTGACAAATATCGTAGTGGAAAATGACTTTTACCCTATATGATTATCAAGCATGTCACCTATTATATTGGTTCTTTAAGGATTGGATCGATTTTGTCTATCTTGATAATGGTTGTAGACCAAATTGTTGAATTGAAATAAAAAATAAATAAACTGAGTGATGAAATGGAAAACATATATAAATTGATTGATTAGATAAAAACAAATTAAAGTTCAATGACAAACATGAAACAAATCTATAAGTTAGGTGACTTCTAGCAGTAAAAAAATCAATTTGGTAAGAGTCAGTCTCAGGTTCTGTGAGTGTTTGACCAAAACATTGTGCACTCGCATCACTTGCTTTAGCCTTAGGAGAACCCGAGGATGCAATAATGGTATCGAATGGGCCAAGTTAGCATGCAGTACAGTAGTAGTGCCAAAACTGACACTTGGGGCATATTAGAGTAACATTAGGAATGTATCTTTGTGACTAAGTCTTGTAAAATATACTCATACAATATTTAGCTTGTGTTTGGGCTTCATTAAAATCCCAAAATGTATTTTCATTTCCTGTCAACGTGGGTTCGCACATTTTAAAAATGGTGCAAAGTGGTTATCTGTACACTGCATTCGTTGATTAATGAATAATGACGTGTCAACTGATATGTATTGATTTCTCATTTCACCCTTGCAAAAGTGATGAGAATGGTAGGATTAAACAAGAGATGGTATTTTTGGAATTATGAAAAAGAGAAAGGGTAATTTTTAAACGATAAAAATACTGTAGAAAAAATGTGATGTCCCATGAAAATATCATTTTAATGAGATTCAAACCGGGGCTTAGTATTATGAATTATAATTATAAAACTTCAATAAAATGTACTCATAATTAGTTGTGTCAAATTTGGTCACTATCGAGTCCGTGCAAACCCCAATCTTGGCCCACGCCAACATGTTACGAGATAGGGGTGTGGTTTGCTTGCTTTTATTTGACAGTCGAGTTGAGCTCGAAAATAGAGTATATAGACCCGGATGAGAATTAGACAGAATATTGTATGCTGGATAATGATGGAATTGATGGATATGTAGTATCAAAGGCATATTGCACAAGAAGGTGTAGACACAGTTCTTCATGGACGGAAGACACATCTGAAGGCTAGACGTTTAGATAGTGCATGTAAGCAGCCTGCGCATTTGATGAAAACACAGAGAGGCTTTTGGAACCCTCTAGGATCACTTGAAAGAGCAAGTACAGAATGGTTCATTTATGGGGCTTGTAGCCACGTCTAGAATTTGGTTGAGAAGTATATAAAATTATGTATACGAGATTCTACGATTATCAATTGTAGGATAAGAGGATAAGACAATTTTCGAACTGGATGTCATATAGTATTGCATGTGACATATTAATAGTCCATGCGGCATTATAAACCCTCAATGATGTATTCTCTCTCTGATGGAAAGATATATTTTGGATCGAGACCTCTGACGTCATTCTAATATTGCAACTACATTTAAGCGTATATTTGTGTACAACAATGGAAGAGGAACAAGGTGAACTTCCGTCAACTTTTACATATTGCAATTAAATATTAAGAAGGGTAATACGCACAAAACGTCCCTATATTTCAATATTATTGTACAAAACTTCCATATCTTACATTTTTTTGCACTTTAACCTTTATTTCCACATTTCATTGCCAAAAACGTACTTCCATCCACTCACCGTTAGTTGCTTCATTAATTTAGTATAAAAAGTCATGGTAATTAATACAAAATGTTCATACCTTTTATTTTTAAACATTTTTACCATTATTTCCATATTTAAGCCAAAACGTCATTTCATCCACTTACCGTCAGTTGTTCCGTTAATTCAATACAAAAAAGTCGATTTTCTTTTCGAACACTGTTGACCCCAAAAAATGTTACCAATAGATGCCGGGCCCACTCGTGCACACGCAAGCTTCATCCAACACGCTAATGTCGATCGACGGTCATGATGGCTCCAGGTAATAGGCGTGGGAGTGGCTAGAAGGTACG